ACCCTCAACAGAGTCCACAACTCCTCCAAGTTTGGTGTCATCAGCAAACTTGCTCAAAATGCCTTCTATTCCTACATCCAGATCGTTTATAAAAATATTGAAAAGTACCGGCCCTAAAATGGAGCCTTGAGGGACCCCACTGGTGACCGCCCGCCAGCCTGACGCAGCCCCATTCACCATAACCCTTTGGGCCCTGCCCGTTAGCCAATTGCTCACCCATCGTATGATGTTTTTATTTAGCTGTATGCTGGACATTTTGTCCAGTAGGATCCTATGGGAAACCGTGTCAAAAGCCTTGCTGAAGTCCAAAAAAATCACATCAGCTGGTTTCCCTTGGTCTACCATACGGGTGATCTTATCATAAAAGGAAATCAGGTTAGTTAGGCAGGACCTACCCTTCACAAACCCATGCTGGCTGGGACCAATGACTGCTTTGTCCCCCAGGTGCGCCTCAATACGTTCGAGAACGATCTTCTCCATGATTTTACCAGGCACTGACGTGAGACTGACAGGCCTGTAATTGCTAGGGTCTTCTTTCTGACCCTTCTTGAAAATCGGCACAACATTTGCCAGCTTCCAGTCTACCGGGACCTCTCCAGACTCCCAGGATCGTTGAAAAATAATTGAGAGAGGTTCCGCGATGACGTCCGCCAGCTCTTTCAGCACCCGGGGATGAATCCCATCCGGACCCATGGACTTGTAGGGATCCAGGTGGAGTAGCAGATCCCGCACACGTTCAGGGTTGGTTGGGAGTTTGTCATCCCCACCGTCCCGGTCCTCCAGCTCGGGGCACCCTGGGTCCCGAAGCCCATCATCGGCATTGAAGACAGAGGCAAAGAAGGCGTTAAGCGTCTCTGCTTTGCCTATGTCATCGTCTGTGAGAAGACCTTCCCTGTCAAGGAGCGGCCCTATGTATTCTTTAGTTCTCCTTTTTCCATTCACATATCTAAAAAAACCCTTTTTATTTTCTCTCACAGACACAGCCAGCTTCAACTCTAGGTGTGCTTTAGCAACACGAATTTTCTTCCTACAAACACGAGCAGCATCCCTGTATTCTTTCCATGTCACCTGGCCTTCCTTCCAGTAGTGAAACACTCTCTGTTTCCGCCTAATCTCCATCAGAATGTTCCTGGTCAGCCACGCCGGCCTCCTGCCCCGCCTGCCTGACTTGCGATATTTAGGAATTGCCTGATCTTGTGCTTCTAGGAGGCATTGCTTAAAGAGTGACCAGCACTGGTGGACATCAAGGCCTTCAAGAGCAGCTTCCCAGGGGACCTTGCTGACTAGTTCCCTGAGCAGCCTGAAGTCCGCTTTCCCCATATCTAGGGATGAGGTTTTGGTGGCACTTTTCCTTCTGTCACCGTAAATTTTGAACTCAACCACTTCATGGTCGCTATGACCGAGGCGGCCACCAATCACCACATCTCCCACCAGACCCTCTCTGTTTTCTAGCAACAGGTCTAGGAGAGCACCTTTCCTAGTTGGCTCCGTTAGCACCTGCACCAAGAAGTTATCATCTAGGTGCTTCATGAACCTCCTGGACTTGCTCGTGTCAGCCGTGTGGCACTCCCACTTAACGTCTGGCAAGTTGAAGTCCCCCATAAGGACAAGGGGAGTTAATCTCGAGGCCTCTCAATGGTATGACAATGGTATGACACCTCCCAGCATTTGCACACAGTTGAATGGAGAATACATGGTCCCAATGTTATGAGTATAACTTGTCTCCTCATAAGCCATGGCTGTGGGAACAAAGAGGTCAGTGCTGCTGAAGCCTTTCATTCTTGTCAGAGCCATCTGCCTTCTCCTCTGCAGGCTTTCCTATGCTGTCCTACTCCTCTCTGAAAGCTGCAGACAGCCACTTCTCTTCCCCACCTTGCTCTCACTCTGCTATTCCCATGATTTCACTGATGCCTCTCCACTCTCGCCAGTTGTTCCTTCAAACACAAGGGCATGGGCTGATCCAAAATCCCTGTGGGTGACCTCTGGACCCACAAAACCAGTTCCAGTGCCTCACCTCCAAGCCAAGAACTTAATCTGAATATCTAATCTAAATCTACCCTCTTTCAGTTTAAAAGCATTCCCCTTGTCCTAAAACTGCACACTCTGAGAACAAATCTCTCCCCATCTTTTCTGTTGGCCCCCTTTAAGTAGTGGATGGATTCTATAAGGTCTCCTCAGAGCCTTCTCTTCTCCAGGCTGAACAACCCCAATTCCTGAGCCTGTTTTAATGAGTGACGTGCTCTAGCTCCTTGATCATCTTTGTGGTCCTCGTATGGACTTGCTCTAATAGCTTCATGTCAGTCTTATACTGGGAGCCCCAGAGCTAAACGCAGTACTCCAGGTGGGGTCTTGGGAGAGCAGAGTAGAGGGGGAGAATCACCTCACCCATTCTTCTCCCAGCCTGTCTTTGTGCTTGGGATTGCCCTGACCCAGGTGCGGGACCAGATGATGGTTGGACCAGATGATCACAGAATCACAGAATCATTTAGGTTGGAAGAGACCTCCAAGATCAACGAGTTCTACCTCTGACCTAACACTGACAAGTCCTCCACTAAACCATATCACTAAGCTCTACCTCTGAACGACCTTTAAAGACCTCCAGGAATGGTGACTCAACCACTTCCCCGGGCAGCCGATCCCAATGCCTAACAACCCTTTTGGTAAAGTTCTTCCTAATATCCTGCCTAAACTGGCACTTCAAATGCCACTCAGATGTCACTCTGCCATCTCCAATATCACCTGCTGCCTGCATCCGAACAACTCCCTCCTGCCTCTGTCTGCATTCAATGTAATCCAATTGCAATGAGACAAGCAGCTTACATGCCGCCTGGTTTGTGCCCACCTGAACCGAGGCAAAAGGAATCCCAGCTCCTGTGGGCTTCTGTGAGGCATGGGACAGGCAGCTAAGCCCCTTTCTAGCCTCTGAACTGTAAACAAAGTATGAGATGCCTGGTTTGACTCAGCTGAAACCCTTCTCTAAGCAGGGGGAGGGAGATCCTTGGGTGGGGGTTCTGCCAAAAACCAGGACATGGAAAAGTGATCCAGTTGGCCTCAGTTATCTGAGAGAAGAGGCCCAAGCCCTCCTCATCACAACCTCACTTCAGGAAGTTGTAGATTGCAATGAGGTTTCCCCTGAGCCTCCTCTTCTGCAGACTAAAAGACCCCATCTCCCTCAGCTTCTCATCATAGGACTTATGCTCCAGACCCCTCACCAGTTTTGTTGACCTTCTCTGGACACGCTCCAGCACATCGATGTCTGTCTTGTAGTGAGGGGCCCAAAACTGAACACAGTACTCCAGGTGTGGCTTCACCAGAGCTGAGTACAGGCGGATGATCACCTCACTGCTCCCACTGGCTACACTATTTCTAACACAGGCCAGGATACCATTGGCCTTCTTTCCACCTGGGCACGCTGCCAGCTCATGTTCAGCCAAACATCGATCATCACTCCCACGTCCCTTTCCTCTTCACATTCTTCTAGCCACTCTATCCCAAGCCTATAACATTGCATGGGGTTGTTGTGGCCAAAGTGCAGGATCCGGTGCTTAGCCTTGTGAAACCCCATCCCATTAGCCTCAGCCCAGCCTATCCCGATCCCTCTGACGGGCCACCTTACCCTCAGGCAGATCGACACTACCTCCCAACTTGGTGTTGTCTGCAAACTTACTGAGGGTGCACTCAACCCCTCATCTACATCATCAATAAAGGTATTATACAAGCTAGGCTCCAGTACCAACCACTGGGTGATGCCACTTGTAACAGGATGCCAGCTGGACTGAACTCCATTAACCACAACCTGCTGGGTTAACTCCAGCCAGTTCTTCACCCAGAGAAGACTATACACAGCCAGGACAGCTGACCCAATGGGATAAAATAGATGCTCCAATAGGTGTTCCAGCCCACCATCCCACTACCAAAAGCACCTCCCAGCCTGCAGCAGAGGAGCCTGCTGGGGAAGAGCTGGAGGGCTGTGGGGACCCACCAGCAGGAGCTGGTGCCAAGTCCTGCCCAAGGGTCCAAGACATCTCCCCGTTCACCTCTTGCAGCTGAGGTATCTCTGCCCATGGGCGCTGGGCAGGCTTCCTTAGGCTCCATGGGGGCCCAAGGCAGCAGAAGGTGGGCACTGCAAGGAAGTGTCTCTTGGGGCTTCCCAGAGATCCACTTTGTCTGGAAACTGCCTGTGGAGGGCAGGACGGAAATGTCTGTCAGTAGGAATAGTGTCCAGAGACCAGGGGCTCTTTCAGCCCCAAAACCAGGCCCCTATCCTGCTGGCTCTAAGATGTGTCCCTTCCCAGCCATTGCATATTTGAGCTCCTCTCCACTCCATCACCCTCAGGGAGATGTCCAGAAACATGGCCAGGGAAGACTGGATCTGGGGCAAAGCCCCCAGAAGGTTTTAATATGAGGAAATACCAACACACAGCATAAAAACAGGGGAATACCAAGAGGGCAAATACTCATGTGCGTCTGCTGACTGCTGGAAAAGGAAGACCAGACCATTCCCTGCTGCTCACGGCTCTCCCAGGGGCACTGAGCTCTCCTTCCTCCCGGCTGCACCCAGCTGCTCAGCAGGGCTGGGCTCTGCTGGCCTGGGGCTCTGGAACACTTGTGCAGGGGACTCTGGTGTCACATCCTCGGTGTCCTCATGGGGACATGCCAGAGACACCTCTTCAACATCGTCATAGCCCGTGGTCCCCAGGACAGGGTACAAGGTGTCTCCCTCTGCTCCAGGGACCCCAGCACTTCTCCGGGAGTGCAGGCTTCCCCCTGTAAGCATCAAGGCAGGCTGCTGTGGTTGGGTCTGTGGCGTGCCCCTTGGGGCTGTTTATCACCTTCCTCGTCCTCACCAGCCTGAGACATTTGGCCCGTTCTCCCAGCCCCTACAAAATATCCCAGGACAGGTTCTCCATGTGGAGGTGGTCAGGCTTTCAATATGGCATGGATTCTCCTAGGCCTGGGGTTGGCACCTAGGAAGTGGCAGTGCTGCATTGCCCTCTCACCTGTGACTGCATGCCTCAGCCCATCTCCTCCCTCTGGTGTCCTGGGCGCTTCCCAGTCCCCCTGCCCAGGGACAGGATCCTCTCCAGGGTCAGAAACCTCCCCAGCATCATCATAGCCATCTGCTGGGTAACCTCCGGGCAGGACAGGGACATCTGAAAGGAGAGGAGAGGTGGTGGCAATGAGAAGTCCTGCAGAGCAGAAGATGGGAGGGTGTGTGGGGACACAGGGCTGACATGCTGCTGGTGTCAGGGTCACAGCAGAGCCTTCATGCAACCAGGTCTGATGATAACACTCGGTGGCACTGCTGTCCATCTGGTCTGTCTGCAGAGAGGAGACATGGAGCCCTCCCCCCTCCCCCACCTCTTATCCCTGGGTGTGGCCCCAGATCATCCTCCTGCTCATGTGCTTGGGGTAGGGCTGCAGCTGGGTCAGGGACCCCTCTGAAAAGGAGCCTGCAGAGAGCTGCAGTGGGTGCTGTGGGATGAGCCCTGCTGCCCTGACTGGTGGTCAGCACTGCTGTGGATGGGCACCCACAGAGCTGGGGGTGCACGGGGACGAGACCAGTTCCTTGGAAAGAGACAATTCTCAGAGGGACTCCAACAGCTGCCCTGGGAAAGCCCTTCACTTAGTCCTTGGTTCAGGGACAAGCAGAGAGGGGCTATCCCCTCTGGGATGTGCAGAGCTGGTGGGGAGGAAGCTCCTCTTTGGGGCTCAGCACCTGGATTCTCTCCCAAAATCCCCACAGCCCAGCGATTTTGGGGACCATGGGCAGGAGCTGCAGGACACAGCCCTGGTCTGGGGCAGGGAGAAAGGGCCCCGCAGATGTGCCTCCACAGGGACCTGCACCCACCTGAGAGACTGAACCTCGCCTGCTTCTCCCATGCCAGGCTGTAAGCGATCTCCTTGTACACGGCCTCAGGGAAGGGCTCCCCAGCTCTCCCGGAGCCTGGGGACAGAGGCAGGGCAAGTCTGGGCATGGGCAGAGAGGGACAGGACCCCACTGGGCTCCCCCAGCCCCATTCCCTAGGCCAGCATAGGGCTGTCCCCACAGCACAGCCCCACTGTGTTGTGTTGGCACTGCAACCACATCCCCAGGGAGGGCAGCATCCCCATGGAGATGGTCTGGGGCAGCATCAGCCTCGCATTCGGAGACAGCCCTTGTGCCCCTTTGTTCCCTGGGTCATGTCCCAGTGCAGACCCTGCACCAATTCCCACATTTCTCGTCCCCATGGAGCTGCTCCATCTCTGCCCCACACATCAATAGCACAGCCTGTGCCCTGCTGGGAGGTGGCTGACACCACAGTGATGGACTCCGCTGCCCCATGCTCCTCCTGGCATTTCTGCCCAGAGCACTGCCAGCAGTGCATCGTCTCCATCTCACGCAGCCCAGCTCTCACATTTCTCTCCTCACCCCAGAACTGATGCCTCAGGCTCTGGGCTCTCTCCACCCCTTGATGTTGGTGCCCCATGGTCTGTCAGTCAGTGGGGCAGCACATGGGGCAAGAGGCAGCACACGGCTCTGTTTCTGTGCCCCAGGACACCAACACCCCCAGCACCCCCAGCCGTGCCAAGAGGCATCTCTCCCCCCAGAACCACTGGGGAAGGACCCACCTCTGCGCCGAACCCTGGCGCTTCGCACCTGCCCAGCCAGGAGGGCCAGGAGCAGGCAGAGGAGGGCCCCCAGGATGATGCAGATGACGACAGGCACCGAGAGTCTCTCACTGCTGGTGGTCGGACAGCCCCGTGGGGGATCTGCATGGGCAGGAACATGGCAGGGGCAGCATCAGGCATGGGAGAGGTTGGGGGCAGGACATGCCACTCCTGACCACACAAGGCAGCAAGGGCTGGGGGGGGACAGGGCTGGGTGATGGGGCAGCTCCCACCCTGCTGTGTACATCACAGACTTCCCACAGCTCTCTCAATTTCCTGGGAGGCTCACAGAACAGTAAGGAGCCCCTTCCCCTGGCTGTGGGTCACAGCTTGTCCATGGATAGACCCAGCCCCAGGGGAAGGACAGCTTACCTGCTGGTGGGGGGAGTGTTGCTGTCCTGGGTGAAGCTGCAGGGGAGCAGAAGGAGAGCTGGGCTGAGAGGCTGGGGCTGTGGCACCAGGCAGCCTCCCTGGCAAATGGCCCCAGCATGTGCCACCTGAATTGTCCCTTCTGTGGGGCTGGGCAGGGTGGCAGGGACAGGTCCCAGCACCACTGCTCTGGGCTGCTCACAGGACAGTGCAGGCAGCCCAGGGGATGTGCTGGCACATCCAGCCCCACAGAGGCTGTTCTCCACCCACCACCAGACCCCCACTCTGCAGGGACACCCTTGCTAAGGCCAGCAGCGGGGCCATGCCATGATCCAGCAGGGCCAATGCCCAAGCCAGCTCCTTGCCAAGCCCACAGCCATGTCTCCCAGCCCCACTGCTCACCTGAGCAATGCACAGCCGCATCTGCCTTATGCTGGCAGGCACCGCTGTCCCCTGGCTGGGCCCAGCAGTCCTGCAGAGACAGCTCCGTCCCCCTGCACTCCATCAGCCACATGGGGCCCGTCCCCTCTCCAGCAGCAGCCTGGCCCAGGGCATAGACCACGGGGCCACAGCCCAGCTGCCTGCACGCCACCTCGGCATCCCACATGTCCCAGGCATTGTCACACAGCGTCCCCCAGGTGCCGCGGTGCCAGATCTCCACTCTGCCCGAGCAGCCATCCTTGCCTCCCACGGCGCGGATCTTCTCCCTGTCTGGGGAGGCAGCAATGTCCCATGGCACCAGGACAGCTGGGACAGGCCAGGTGAGGGGGGCATATGCAGGGGCAGCTCCCTACCTGTGCAGCTGGTGGAGTTGGGGCATGCAGCCACCTGCGGCCTTTCTGTCCATGTCCCAAAGGAAAGAGAAGTTGGGCTGAAAAGGGATGCTCTAGGGGTCGTGCAGAAGAGAGCAGAGCTGACATCTGTTCACACGTCCCCATGCTGCCTGGGTCAGGGAAGCAGCAGAACCCTGTTCACTCAGGGGACACACACGGCACTGCAGGGGGGACCCAAGTGCTCGGCCCCACAGGGTCCCTGATTCACAGAGCAGCAGGAGGCTGTCCCAGGAGGGGGGACTCCTGAAAGCCCTGCATGGTCTCCTCTGAGACCTTGCCTGGAGTTGCCTCTGCATCCCCCAGGGGCTGAGGGCAGCCCGGCTATTGACTGCTGCTGGTGGACATGGGTGGCTCCAAGAGCTGAAGTCACCTTTGTGTACCAGTAGCAACAGGGTCTAAAGCAGGAAAGTCAAAGCCCCTCTGGGTTCCTTCTCTGCATTTCACCATGCCCAGTGGGGAACAGGACCTGGTGCCTTGATGGCTCAGATTTACCATTGCAGGTGATATTGGTCTCTTCTCGACGGTCATCACACGACTGCGGATCCCAGGGAGCAGAGGGACACTGCCAGAAGGAGCTGTTGCTCTTCCCACACTCCACGTGATCCAGCCACGCGGTGCCAGACAGCTTGGCATAGTTAGAATCTGTTTCCAGTTCCCCTTCATTCCCGCAGCCCAGCTCCTTGCACACCAGTGACACCGTCTCGATGGTCATGGAGCTGGAGCAAACGCTGCCCCACGTCCCGTTGTAGAAAACCTGCAGGCGCCCGGAGCAGCCGTCGCTGTTCTCCAGCCTCAGGGCCATGAACTCTGGAAGGAGGAAAGGCCCCAGGGACGTCCTTGGGCGTCAGCCACTGATGGCCTTGGCTCTAACTGGCTCTATCCTCACCCCAGATTCCAACGCCCCAGCTCCCAGCCACACTCCTAGCACAGACCTGAACAGATGACTCCAGCATCCTCCTTGTGCCCACAGTTGTGCTGCCCCCAGGCCTCGGCAGGGCAGTACCAGAGAGCAGCTTCGGCCCCGGAGCAGTTGACGCCATCCAGCCAGATCTGCCCGGAGCCCCAGGTGGGCTTCAGTCCCGTCACAGTGGAACGAGTCTCTCCAGACGGGGCCGGTTCCTCTCCCAAAATGCCCTCCTCCAGGAATGGACTCAGCAAAGCCACAGCCGAGGTGCCGACAGAGAATGTGGGCGTCCGAGAGGTCCCAGCGGGAGGCACAGAGGTTGCCCCACGTCCCCAGCACCTCCACCTCCACCCTGCCCTCACACGCTGTGCTGCCATTCACCAGCCTGAACCCTGTGTACTCTGGGGACAAAGGAGGGTGAGAGAGGCCACATTTGTGCTCTTGTTCCCACAGGAGCTGCAGGAGAGGCCAAAGGGACAGCGTGCCTTTCTCCTCCTGCAGCACTCTAATTTTAGGGCTGCAGACCACCACCTCACCCCACCTGTCCCCCACCCAGCACAGCCCAGTGCCCTCCCTGCTCTCCTGCCCCCAACACAGCCCCCGTGGGCACCATCCCACCCTGAGTCCTTACGTGTGCAGGTGACATGAGTGCCATTGCTTTGGGTGCAGGCTTTGTCCTTGGGGGCCTCCGTGGGGCAGAACGAGAGGACGAATTCATTCCCCACACACTGCAGCTCTCTGTCCCAGACAGGACTGGCCCCTTCTCCCAGCTGAGCTGCCCCATGGACAGACAGGGCTGTGCCACACTGCAGCTCCCTGCACACCACCTCGGCAGCTTTGGCACCAAAGTGGGAATGACAGACAGCTTTCCACTCGTCCCTGTCGTAGACTTCCACACTTCCTAAGCAGGGGCTGTCCCCTCCGACCAGCCAGACAAATCCTGGAGCAACCAAGGAGACCTGTGATTTCCCAGAGCCCTCTGGCACTTCCATGCCCACCTCATCCCTAAGGCAGCCACATGCAGAGCCCCACGGCCAGCCCAGCAGCTCTCAGAAGGTGCTGGTGGCACAAAGAGGTCACGGCCCCCCTGCTGCTCCTCAGAATCCAGCCCAGCACCCATGAGCTGCCCTCTCTCCCATCCCCCAGCCACCGGCACCGCTCAGACAAACTGCTGCTGCCTGGAGCCCGTGGGCTGCCCAGCTCCAGACCCAGCACAGCAGCACCCGCAGCACATGGGCTGTGGGAAACAGGCCCAGGAACTGGGGGCTACTTCAGCCTGCTCTGCCCCACAGGGCTCAGGCCAGTTAGAAGAAATCCTTGGATCTGCCAAAAAGCCCCCCTGTTCCCAGGGAATGCTGGGGCTCTTGGGGAGCTCCTGTTACATGGGGCACATTGGGGGATCCTCCGCAAAGTGGGGTCCTCTGGCAGGGACAGTGTGGTGCTGGGCATGCACGTCCCCAGCCACCTACCATACATGGGTCAGGAAAGCAGGCAGAGAGCAGCCCTGGGCTGACACAAGCTCCTGGTGTGAGGGCAGGCAGAGAGGAGAGCCAGGAGGTGCTGGCACAGCCCCTGGGGCACAGGGCAGGCAGGAGAGGCTGGGCAGTGGGTCAGCACAACCTGGAGGGGCCGTGTCTCCGGGGCTTGGATCTCCTAGGGTGACTCCGGGACAGGAACAAGGTGCCACTTGCCTCCTTGCTCCTCTGTGCAAGCCCAGTGCTCCTGCCCTCTGAGCAGCCCCTCTGCTTTGGCTGAGGTTCTCTTGTCTGCTGGGGGTACAACCCAAAAGTCCTGGGCCATTGCACGCCCTTCCCTGAGGCTGCTGGTGGCTGGGGGAGCTGCTCTAGATTCCCCTGGCATAGGGACCAGCCTGCCAGACAGGGCCTGGGTGAATGGAGGAGAAAGATGGGAACCAGCCAGCACAGTGGGGAAGGGTGGGGGCTTTCCTCTCCCAGCCCCAGGCACCTCCCCAGGGTTGGCTGCTGCAGCTTCAGGGCCAGGCTCAGTGTGGTCCCACTGGGCTTTCCCCAGGGACAAGGGACACCAGCAGTGACAGACCCAGCTCAGAGTGCAACTTGACACACACAGCCATGTTCTGGTGTCCACTTGTTCACTTGTTGCTTCCTGAGGTCACAGCCAAGTCCCTTAGAAGTGTCCTCGTCCCAGAGGTAGAGAAGAAGTTCAGTCCTTACCTGAGCATGTCACTCCAGCATCCCAGCTGTGATAGCAGTATGCTTTACCCCATCCTGCATGTGTGCAGTCAGACAGGGCAGACTCGGTGCCACGACAGTGAAAATTATTCATCCAAATGCGCCCAGATCCTGGCCCGAAGTGTGCATTCCAATGAGCTTTGAGAGCAACCCCACAGCCCAGCTACCTACAAACCACTGCAGCATCAGACATGTCCCAGTGTCCATGGCACACAGTCCCCCACTGGCCCTAATGTTTCACCTCCACTCTCCCAGCACAGCGACTGCTGCCATCCACCAGCCTCACCTCCGCAGCCCCTTCAAACACCAACACAGGAAGGGTCAGGAGAGTTTTGAGCCCCACATTGTGTGTCCGTGAGGACCCGCTCCCCAGGCAGATTCCCAGTTCCCAGGGTGGGATCCCTGTCCCCATAGGCTGTCTCAGGGGCAGCGGGGGGTTCCTCCCCTCCCCATGGGCTACACTGGGCTGGGGGTACCCAGCTCTAGCCTTCCTGGGCCATTTGCTACCCCACAGCCCTCACCACCTCCTCCCACCCCAGTGGACCCCTGCCCCCACCCATGCCCACCCCCACACAGCCCCCAGCCCTGCATGGGTCTCCCACTCTTCCCCTTCCCAGTGTCCCCCAAAAAGACCCAAACCCCTGAGCAGCTTCCATTGCCCATTGTCTGCAACAGGCACCTCCCAAACCCACTGTCTGGGTTGACCTCAAGGATACCAACAGCCCACATTCCTTCCCCATCCCTGCTGTCAGACTGGCCCCTGTGCTTGACCAGGGTCCCTAAGAAGAACACCTCTCGGTGCAGATGCCCCAGTCCCCTTCTGTTAATGGGACAAAACCTGCCCTCCTGGAGTCCGTGTTTCCCCAGATTTCAGGGGCAGGGAACAGCACACAACCCCTCTGGGACCCCCCAGACATTGGCTGTGCCCTGGAGATCACTGAGGGCCACTCACTGTCTGGGCCTTCTCCAGACCCAGAGACATAGTGCTGGGGAACAAGGGGTCGCAAAAGGGTACCCAAGGAAGAGGTGTCTAGAAATGAAGCCAGGTGTGGGCTGCCAAAAACATGGGAGATGTGAAAATGGATTACCCCCTCGCACCCAGACAGGCACAGATTAAAGAACAGAGCTGAGAGACTAAGCACCTTCTGCCTCTCATATCAGTGGTGCCTGAAAACAACCCCACTCCCAGAGAGATCCCAATGACCCCACTGCTGCCCACTGTCCCAAGGCTGTGGAACAGAGAAGCTGGCACTTACCTCTGCATGGCTGCACCCAGAGGAACAGCCACAGCACCCAAGGGGACAGGAGTCCCTCTGTCCCCATCCTCAGGCTCCTGTCCTGACAGCACAGCCCTGCTGCTGGAGCTCCTGGGGACCCACAGTGAAATGGAGATGATGGGAGGGCAATATATCTGTGCAGATGCTGTCCCAGCTGCAGGAGGAGCCAATCAAAGCAGCAAGCACCTTTTTAGACGTTATCGGCACTTATCTCCTCTCCGACGCAGCCCAGCTCTCCAATGAACTTCTCCAGCGCTCTTCATGACCATATATGAGGGACGGCTCCGCTGCGGGTCTCACGTCACTGCGGTGGGAGATCATCGTGGGGTAGGGCTGGGTGTGGGGGCAGATGGCTCTGACACCCCTTGCAGCCTGCTGTGGGAGCACGGAGCATCTCCTAAGCTGTAGCATCCAAGAGCCCAAGGTGCGATTATCCGTCTGTCCTTGTGCCATGGGATCCAGGGGACTGGTCCTGCAGCAGGGCTGTGTCAGGCTGGGAAGGGACCAGCCCCTGCCCCTGCTACAGCCCCCTCTGTGCTGGCAGCAGCAGCTGGGAAAGGCCTTTTGGCAGGGCCAGAGCCCCATGATGGGGGTGCTGGCTGTCCCGTCCCTCCCCAGGGAGCCTCCTGTGGGGTGCCGGCAGCAGCCAGAGCTGGTCCAGAGCCTGCCCTGGCAGCAGAGCTGCAGCCCAGAGCCTCAGGCGTCTCCCTGGCTCTCAGCGTGTCACCCAGGGGCCGTTATTCCCCGCGGCGGGTCGGGAGCTGGAGCCTGCCTGCCACTGCAGGTGCACAAACCGCAGCCCACGTGACATGGCGCCCGGGCAGGAAGACGGTGGTTTCCTCCTGGCCCCGTGCCCAGGCATGGCCCTGCGGTGCCTCCCAGCCTCCTCACAGCTCCAAGCCTGGCAGAGTCCAAGAAGTGTTGGGACAATGCTCTCAGACATATCATTTATTTTATATATATATATGTGTATATATATATATATATACACAAACACACACACATATATATATTTATTTTAAAAAATCATAAATATATACAAAATACACATTTTATATATACATTATTATATTAGTATATATTATATTAGATTGTATATTATTTTTATATATTATATGTATTATTTTATATTGCACATTATAATACATTATATATGATAAATGTATTAAATTATATTATTTTATGTGATATACATACATGTATATTCCATAAAGTATTGTATTATACAGTATTATGCTATATTATACAGTATATTCTATTACTTATTACTTATGTATTATTACTTATAGTTTATTATATAATATTCTATATTTCATGGTATGTATTTTTATTTTATTACATTATTTTATTTTTATTATAATATTTTTACATATTATATATAATGTTTATTTTTATAAATATATATGTTAATAT